ACGACCACGACGACCACCACGACGACAGGGCATCATGAAGTTTGAGGAACGCGCCCTCAAAGCACACAAACGAGCCCGAGAAGCCTTTCTTGGAGGGCAACAAAATGTGCGCGGGACTGAGGCTGACACGATGTCGAAAAATGCCGGACAAACAGCAGCGCAGTCGGTGCCTCGTGCAGAACCGACTATGGGTCCGACAGTGAAAAGCCCAACCTAAGCTGCTCGAAGATTTGGACACGTGACTGTTCGGAACATTATTGAATCATTTCTCGGTGACTCAGTCTTGCACTGGTAACATGCACTAAACACATAATACTCTTGTAATGTGGTCATCGTAGTTTTTCTTCGGTATGGAATTGCCAGAGTCCGAGAGACAGGACGGGTAGGTTTGTTGGCGCTCATTGTCCCCACTTGCTTACTACCTGTAACAGAAAACCCCTGCAGCGATCTGAAACTCAAGCCTAGTTCCCCTCAGCCAACAGCTCTTAGCGATACACTTTCCTGCTAGGTCCATAAGCGCGGGGTGTCCTACACAACACGCCGTTCTCTACGGCTGCATTATGGGTCATACTGATTACTCATCCTTGTTGCCTGTAGTCTGAGAGTCGGAATCCGCAAAGAGTACTGAGGGTTTCGCACAGCTCACCCCCAAGCCGCAGTCTGAGCCTGTATGGTTGGCCTGCACTGCCTCGCCACCACCTCCTCCCCCGCCCTGGGCGCCATCATTGCGCTGCCTTGCTCAAACAAAACTTTTGGGAATGGCGGCGAAAACTGTGCTTGGCTTATTGCTGTCGTTGTGTGCGACCCGAAGCCAAAGACCTCGTCTTTGGGCTTGAGGTCTTGCGCAGATGAAAACGCCTGGAAAATATGGTATGGCTAGGGGAGTTCCTATTCGCGACTGGCGGCAGTGGTGCCTGTTGCGGCTTGTGCCGAATACCCGAGGCTGAGGTGCCCTTGAGAGAGTACTGCCTTTACGAAGAATAGCAAATCCTTTTGAACATTTGGAGATTTGCAAAACTTGATCTCCAAAACGTTACAAAAAGTAGAGGGGGCAGTGAGTCCTGACTTAGCCAAAGGTTGTATGTCTAAATTTATAAATGTATTTGTATGTGTGTGTGTATAT